TATATATATATATATATATATATATATATATATATATATATATATATATAAAGAAATAAGTTTTTTTTTTTTTTTTTGGCTTGAATCTAACTTGTATCTTTTTGGATTACCACACCAGAAATTTTCAAACTCATGTTTTTAAATATGATTTTAAAAGCCTCATTTTAATAATGTTTGCTTCAGTAATCTGTCTTTGAGTGTGTGACCTGAGGACAATTTTGCCTTCCTGTTAATAAATTCTGCCAGAAGCTTTGCTGTGGCATTCTTGTGTTCCCTTAAGGTCAAACATGAACAAGAAGAAAGACCAAATAAATAAGCGGAGTAAAAATCAAATTCTGCGTCGATATTTTATGCTCGCATCTGGCCTTAGTTCTTCCCACATGCATTAAAAGCCTTCCTTTATAGGAAATATTTCCTTTTATGACAAATTTATATAATTATCCTGCAAAGGACAATGGAGCTGATTCCTGATTTAACAGACTGACAGTATGAAAGGAGCCCTTTACTCTCTGATTGCCTCCATTGCTGATGTGGAATGCCTGATCATTGACGTAGAAACAAAGATGGCCAATTGATGGGGCATACGATCTTGGTGGTGCTCTGAATCGTGGGCTTTTCTTCTTCTGAAAGGTGGAGGTGGCGGTTGGAAGGACAGCCACAGTCCTAATCTGAGCGCCGGCAGGTCTCTGGTGGAAGGTGCTATGGGGGGATCTTCATGCCCCCTGGCTCTACATAAGCTCAGCTGGTCGACCTTTGGCGGGTTCGGAGGTGGAGGTGGAGCCTGCACGGCAGGAGGTGGTGGAGGAGGATACAGAGGTGAGCAGTATGTACTTAAAAAAAATAACTATTTGTTGGTTTTTATTTTGGATTTCTCCCTAATTTTAAAATTAAAGAAGAAACATTTAGTATTGATTCTTTTTTTGAATCTCTGGCTCCTTTTTTGGTTTTTGTCTGTGAAGTATTTTAGTCACATGGTTTAAAAAAGAGGAAAACTTATTTTTCAAAATTTGTAGCAGATAATCTCAATTACATTATATAAAAAGTTATTATTTCACAGCAGAGAAAAATCACTCAATACTATTATTAATACTAGTATTAGTTAAAGATAAAGTATTTTGCTTATTTTGATGGAGCAGAGACCTTTTTTTTAACAAATAACAGCTGGAAAGGTGTGGTATCTATTTATATTCAGCTCCCTGCTACAAAGCCTTTGTAGAACCGCCTTTTGCTGCACTTAAAACTTTAGATTGTTTTGTAATGCTTTAACAAGCTTTATAAATCTGGAGGCGAAACATTTGCTCTTTTTTCTCTGCAAAACAGCTCAGTTAAAGTTAAATTAGATGGGAAACATCTTTGAATGTAATTCTTTTAAGTACTGCCATGGGTTCTCAGTATCAGATGGATGTTTAAAATGGTTTAACAGTCATGCCATGCTCCTCCTATTTTCAGATGATAGATAGCATCACTCTATGAGGCGTTTCAAGCTTATGAAGGTCTATAAGGTAACCAGAGCGGATGTTCTTTACCACTTGTTCCCTGAAACCGTCGGCTGTGTTCCTTGTCTTAATGAGGCTTTTTGTCCTCTGATGTTCTCAAAGAATATTTAAATGATGCTCTGCTAGACTCAGTTGGGCTTTATTTAGGTAAGCAGGGTAAAAGGGGCTGAGAATATTTCCAAAAAAGTCATGGTACTTCCATGTCACAAATATGTTCTGTTTTCTTTTTTTTTTCTAAATGCAGCAAAGTTTAAACTCTTTTGCAAAGCAAAGTAGGAGATTGAAATAAATCTGATGGGAGTAACTGAGTGTCTGATGTGCAAAGAATCTAGAGGTGAAAATGTTGATGTGGTTGTGAGAAAATTTGACCAGCACAATGTTAAATTTAGTGATATTTAAACAGCAAGAGCTGGGACTAATTTACAAGCCAGGTCATTGGATTTCTGGTTATTAGCTGTGAAATGGAAACCTACGTAACATGTATTTTGGTCGCTTTGTGAAGAAAATTGAACCTTTTGATCTAATGTTATTCTAAACTTATGTTTGAAATCTAATGGTCACATATGAGCTAAACCTAATTTCTCACAGGAGGCGACGCTGCGCTGACAGATGATCTCACAGCCGATGGACAGAATGGTGTTTCATTTATACATCCGATGGGAGAGATTTTCTTACAACCTCTGGCAGGTAATATGACATTTTTTTATAGTAACAAATTTCTTTGATTATTTTTTATCATGTCTTTTGTGCAAGTTTGTTTTAATCCATTCTATAATCCCACTAAATAGCCTTTAATATAAATAGCTATTAAAACCGTAAATATCCAGAGATAAGCTGAAATGGAATGCTTGTATTTCTAAAAGATATCAGAAAAAATATTCCAATAAGAAACATGTATCAGCATGAATCATTAAACAAATACAGAAAGGAGCAACGCTAACATAAAAAGGAGTTTATTAAAGGAGGTACTTTATAAATAGTAATGGAGGCAGGGAATTAAATAAAAACTGTGTTTAGAGCAGCAAACAGACATAAAAAAATAAGAAACCTGTATTAAATATAGGAACACAGCAGGCACCCTGGGGTCCTCTGGTTTTGTGATCATAACTGCATAGTAACTAATGTTCCCTTAAACAAAAAGAATTGGAACAGCTTTAATCTTAGGAAAGTGAAAGTGTTATGCTACTGGGATGTTAGGGTTTTGCCATTTCCATGTTTATTTTTGTTTTGTGTTAACAATATTATCTGTTAGATGTTAGCATTAAGTTCATCACCCATTGTTACTTCTGTACAATTCCTGTTAGATGTCTCCCTTTTATTCTCTGTTTAGCTAATCTGTAATAATTAGCCTTTCCCCTCAGCTCCTCTGCTTTCCTCGTGTCTCAGTTGTTCCTCATTATTCAGTTGATTACTTCCAACTGCTCTCTGCGCTTTTCTCCACACATCCCAAAGATTTAAATGCTTTGCTTTGCACTACTCACTGTTGGATTCTTCTGTTTCTTTGTTCTATGTCCTGATACTACATTATTCTGAATGCCACTGTGTGCTTCCTTGTGTTAGATGCCCATATATTCTTGTGTTGTCGCAATATTTAAATTGCTGATTTGTTTGATTTTTTATCAAATAACAAATAACAGTTTATATCTTTACTACTTGGCTCCAGCCTTAATCAACTAGCATGATTGAAAGGTTTGAATCCATATCCATCCATATCCATAATAAGCAGGAAAGGGGTATTCATGTTGCTCTTTTAATTATTTATTTTAACTGCTCTGTTTGCAGGCTGGAACATTTATCAAAAAGACTGAGCCTTGGCTTTAATATCCACTTGCGCATTCATCCCAAAACCGGTTTAATGTATCTTTAGGACCATTTCCCAGTTTGCACGCTCAGCTATGTCCAAGTTTTTACCACCTAACTCAAAAGAGTTCTGCCTTTAGTGAGGCTATTAGCATCAACAACGTCTGAGAGAAGGATCTTGGCTGGAAAGTCAACATCCTTCACTTAGATAGTGGTTTGCAGTTGCCAACATTAAAAAGCTAAATACTTCCTGTAAAAAAGTTTCTGGAAGGATGTTAGACGGATAGATGGTAAAAATAATGAGTTATTTGGATGCAAACAAAAAAAAAGCAGGTAGGCATGTGTTTTCAGCATGATATACACTGAACCCACAGCCATGCATTGTGGAGGTCATTGTGCGGTAATATATATATATATATATATATATATATATAT